GGTAGGAGCATCCATTGAGTTATAAACATGTGTGATATTAGAGCATCTTTGTGTACATTTATGTATGAGATCATTACAGTTCTGTTTTAAAGTTAGCCATCTCTGTAGTACATAAAACCTTTGGCAGTAAAATTGTAAATCCATGCAATGGGGTGTTAAGCACACAAATCCAATTAAATCCTTCAAACAGCTTTGAAAGCCTCTCCCAGAGGGTACAGAAGTGGTTATTTGTGATTCTCTTGAACTGCCTTTTATGGCAGCTTGCTTAGAGTGTCTGTGACAAGTAGTCTTTTGGGGGTTTAACGCTGCAAATGGTAGGTTCTTTAAACAAGCAAATGAATAAACTTAAGACTTGGTTTTACTCTTTTAACAGATCCTACACAAATGGGAGGCCTGAGTATGCTGCTTCTAGCAGGGGAACATGCCCTGACTGCACAAGAGGTAAGGAACTCCCTTCTCTTCCTTACCGTGAGCCCTGAGTTTAAAGAGAGCTCTGAAGAGGAATATATGAACAGTGGGAGATGAAATTTAAGATACTTCTTGGGTAACCTCAAGTGGGACTGAAGTGTGAGCCCTGTGATATGAGTCTTGCATCCCAGCTGTGAACGTAGTGGTTGGGCCCAGTTTTTATATTGGTTCAATATTAATTCTGCTGACTGAATATTTGATCAGACCAGGCAAGTCTGCCCCATGAGAGGATATTGTCACAGGTAGAAGGGTTGAAATACAGTGACTGTGTTAACAAACAGATGATTTGCAAGCAGTTTTGGGCAAGGATTTCATATGCTTGTGCAATGCCTCACGCAACTGTGGCCTTGGTACTAATAGCAAAATAAATACCTAATAATTTCCGTACAATCAGTGTCATTATATATGCATTCTGAAACCATGCGAGTGCTAACAGGTAATCAAAGTATTGCAGTCTATTCCTATTCACTAAGTCTTTATGTCTAAAAAGAAGTTTGTAGTTCAGTTGCCATCACAAACATTCTGTTTTTACGAAGGAGTCTAGTGAATAAAAGTGTTCCTGCATATCTCCAGTAGTGCAGAGACCTTTGGTCTTTCTTTAGGCTCATTATTATTTATGATTTATTTTTTGGGCCAACTTTGAAAATTGTTCAAGAGGTGGCTTGTGTGTTGGGTGAAATAGGTAGTTACTGCCATAAATCTCTAGCCTGGAAAGAAGAGCATGGAAGTGAGGAGGGTTTCTTTTTTCTTTTTTTTGTTGTTATTGGGAGGAAAAGCAATAGCAAACTATCTGTATGCGGTACCCCCAAATGCAAAATGTGTAGTGCATTTGAGATTAGTTGCTCCTGTACTGACAAGACTATGCCAAGTCAATGCTTTGCACACCAGTTTGAGCAGTGGAAGTCTTTCTGCACATGCAGGTACTGGCTTTCTGTGCTGCAGCACTAAAAATAAGAAACACTAGGGTAAGGTTGGCAGAGTAGTGAAAAGAAATTGATTATTTTATGCTAACATGAGAATGTCCTGTAGTTTTCGAACTTTGAATGTCTTGGCTTGGAGTTTAAAAACTGTTTTTACTATGCTGTTATGTTTAAATGAGAGGTGTATTGTAGTGTAGTCACAGATACTCAGTTCCATTAAGAAAGGTCTTTGCTATGACTTTGTGAGTTGAGCTTTCTTGGTTTTACATGAAAAGTGCCTGAAGTAGAATGATTTCAGATGGCAGTGAAGGAATAAAATCTACATCTGAATTTAGAGACAAATCAAAAAGGATGTTGTGTGATTGTTTTAATATATGAATGTTTTTTGATCAGGATTTTCTTTTTTTCAGCAAAAGACACATTTCCCATGTGCCTACATAATGTTCTATCATTTTTTCTGATAGAAGCATGCAATATGGCTTGTGATGTAATATTTACTTTATGTATAAGCTTTACTACGGTGTGCTCTTTTGGGCCTGTAGTCTTCCTTTGAAACCCGGCCTCCACATCAAAGAGGCAAGCTGTGTAACCTGCTTTCCCCCAAAATGAAGAGCAAAATAATTGTCATAAATACAGCCTGAACAAAACTAGTTGAGGGATTTGTTGGCTGTTGTTAGAATCACGATGGGCCAGGAATTAGCCCGTACTTACTAATGTGTTACCGTATTTTAATTGTCCTACACTATCTGAGAAGCAGGTAAGCGTCCGAGTACTTTCCCAGGGAACAAAACAGCACATCTCCGATTCTTTCAGAGGGTCCCCTATGTAAAATACATCCTCCAGAACAATCTGGGTGCTTGGTATTCTCGAAGGCACCCAAATGGATGAAGTTCAGTCTTCCTTGGAATTAAGTCTTCAGCTGTGTTTCTGTGCACTGGGAAACTTCCTCAGTTTCTTTGTGTGGCAGCCCTGGTGTGTCTTCTGTTTTCCTTTGTTTCCTTCTGATTCAGTGTTTCAGTGGTGATTAGAGATGGAGCAAATATTTCTTAGGCTTCTGTTTCCCCAAATGCAGTAAAGATCGTAAACCTTTTTAGACTTGGATAACTGAACAGCACTTCTGGCTTCCCATCCTCGGGCGTGTGGACAGAGGAGACATAGGATGTTCGTCTTTGCATGCCTGTGGGACAACCTATGGTTCGATTTCCATGCTTATGCTTGAAAACAGTTTCACGCTCAAACCAGCGTTTGGGAGGTTAGCAGAACATGCTAGGATGTGGTATGACAAGCTCAGTAAGAAGCTCAAGAATTCATTGTAAAATTGGTAAGCTGCTTTCCTCTTCAGTGGAGGGGGGTTAACTGTGTTGTGTTAGAGTTGGTATTGACATGGGAGAGAATTTGGTGTACTAAGGTGACTGCTGAGGTATTGTCAGTGAAGAGGTTCAGAAGTTGCTTAACTATGGAAAAATATAGGTATTGGTTTTATATGCATGTAAGTATATAAATATATGTCATATATCTAAAACCCTGGCACTTTAATTTTAAAAAAAAAAAGAAGATGCAGTGTCATTTTTAAAAGAATGCTCTAAATCATATCATGTAGTCTTCATTATCATTAAAGCATGTGTGTGTACATGTAAGATACACATGCATATATGCAGTTCTTAAATTGGGGGACCGCCAGATGCAAGATTATCTCATGCAGGTTGGCTGCTTGTGCATATGTGTGATTATGCAGACTTGGGTGGCCTTGTAAGCATAGGACTTAAATACTATTATCTTAAAAATTGTTAATAGAAAGGAGGGCAGCACTGGCATAGTTTGCTCAGAACTTGGGAGAAGATGAGGGAAATGGTACTTACAGGTCTGCTAATCCCACATAAATGTATTCAGTGCCCGCTGATTTTCTGTCAAGTATATGTTAGATGGATGTATAGGGACTTTTCAAGCCAGGTGTTTAACTTTTGTCTTGTGAGAAGCCCCGATATCGGGTAACAAAGTGAACAGCCGCCAGCAGGAGGACGGGCAGAGGCACGACAGCAATATTTACAAAATTGCCTTGAGCCTTCGGTCGCCAGTTATGTTCCTATTTTTGTAATTTTTTTCAATAGACTAGAGAGTTTTTCTTCTGATAACAGAATTCAGTGTTGGTACATGATTGATTTCCAAGCAGCAGCCAGACTTGCTAAGCAGATAGGCAAGAGAAGCTACAGACCTTACCAAGAGTAAACAAAGGACTTGGATATGCAGTGAGTTTCCACCTGGCTCCTGGGTCCTTTCATCAGTTACACAAGACTGTGGTGCATATGTGAGCATATTTTGTTGAACACCCAAGTGGAAACGCCGGACGGGTCTGCTCCAGCTACTGTCGTCGTGCTAGGCGAAGCCTGGTTCTCACGGCAGGTTTATTAGCAGAAAGGCTGAAGCTGGTGAGGAGCGCTCCTTGCTTGCCCGCTCACCTCCCTCCCTGCACATCTCCCTTACTTGCCCGTCAGGCCCTTTGCTTGCCTTACAGCAGCACCTAGTGGCCTGCCTGTAGCTTACTGCCCAGAAATCCCGGAATTCGTAGGGTAGTCCAAAATCTGGCTCTTCTGCCGGTTTCCCCCCTGGCCGCTGCCCAGCACACCAGGACGGCGTTAAAGCCTCGCGTCAGTCAGTGCCAACGGTCAGCCAGGGGCTGTCCTGCACCTTCGTTCGGCGTAATCTGTTTTAGAGCAGGTTACGGTAACCTGCAGGGAAAGGGAGGCTACAGGGGTGTTATCCTTGCGGTTTCCTTCTCTTCGAGGACAAAAGGTTATCTTGCATGCAGTGCCGGGTCTGCACGGGGTGGTATTGCCCACAGTGTAAATCAGAAGTGAAAAAATCTCTCAGTGCAGCTGAGGGTAAGCTGGGAGGAGGAAAGAGGAGAAGAAATGAGGAAATGTTCAGGATGTTTTATTACAGCAGGAGATGAGACGAATGCAGTGGCACTATCTGTGCATCCATTCCCTCTGGTAATTATTTTAACACTTTGATCAGGTTCAGCCTGGCAGAGGTTAGAAGTCCTGGAGATAATAACTTTCCCACAAGTCAGGAGCATGTGGAGAGCAGCAGAGTAGAAGAAACAAGTTCAAATTAGTGCTTCTGTCAAGCAAAGGCAACATCATCTCTGAGTTACTGGGCACCAGCTATCTGTCCTTTACACACAAAGCTGTAGGAAACGGGCTTCACACCTTCCACGGCTTGTGGTTCCTGTACTGCAAGGTGAACAAGCTGTGCCTGACCCCCAGCCTCAGGGGCAGCGAGAAGGCTCGTCCTCCCCCTCCGCGCCTGCCCGGGCAGCGAGTGCCTTACAGCACTTGTGTTGCAGGGGCTGAGCCGTAGAAGCCGCTCTCGGGAGTGCATCTCCGCTCCAGCACGGTGCTCCTGGGCTGGCATGGGTCAATGGCTCCCAACTCGGAGCTGGTTTGTGCCGTGCCAGCTCGGGCGTGTGTTGACACGTTCATGTGGACGTGCCCTTAGATAGGCAGAGGAAGCCGCGAAGCCACGGTCTCTGTTACGGCGGGCGGGCAGAGTTCAGGCACTCATGGCCCTGCAGCGCCTGCCTCGGGGAGCAGAGAAGTTTCACACGCCTTCCCTGTTCACGTTGCTTCTCCTGAGCAAAATAGTGCCCTTTCATACGGCGCATTGAAAAGGCTCTGCTTGCGAACAAACTGCTTCAACAGACACCACAAACTAAGCTATGTAAGGCAGGTGGTCGAACTGCAGAAAATTATAAGTTATAATTGTAAGTTATATGGGGAACCAAGTCCCAAATTTGGTTATTCCTGGGAGAATCCCACTGGTGAAGTGGCCTGCAATAGCCAAATGAGCGCTCAGACATGCAAGCAGCATCCTTATATATTTCACACCAGTGCAGAGACTCAGACCTTCAGAGGTCACTCAACAGCAGCAAGATCAGTATGCATCCCTGGTACAATCCACCCCACTGCTGAGGCACAGACATCTTAAACAGATCATACAGAAACATGAGAAAAGCAGTAATAAACATTACATCAGTGAAAACAGTAACACAAACCATTGAAAAAGCAAAAGACAGGCATTAAAAATACATTCTTTGTAACCCTTTGGGTTGGTATACTCCCATAGTACACTGATAAAACATCCTGCTTGGTGTTTAATAAATATAATGGAAGCATGGATCACAGGAGGCACTGTTCTGCTTGGTTTTATGGCTGGGAAGAAACAAGTTCGACTGTGTACATAAGCAAATTGTCGTGTGGTATAGTTTCCCTTGGCCTGTGGGTTGCTATACTTGGATTTAGTGTTTTCAGGGGAGTATGGGTAGCAGATGATTGAAATGAAATGCCACTGGTGCTATTGCACTGCGTAAGCATCTTGGACAAACAGCAGCAGCAGCAGTACAAACTGTATGTGCCGTAGGCCTGCTTATTCTGTGGCGCTTTGTGCTTGCTGGCAACAGATGCAGTCGCTAGCTAAATCTCATGTGTGCATTCACTAATAAATGCTATTGTTTCGGTAATAAATAAGAGAAAAAACACATTTGCATCAAAATGTTTTAAATAAACTGAAATTTCATGAAAAATTTGAAATGGTTAGGCGGAAAAAAAATCCAAATCCATCCTGTTACTTTTCCTAAAATCCTAAAATTTAGGAGGCTTCCTAAAAGCCTCCTTCCTTTCTTCTGTTTCCTATAAGCCATGTTACATACCTTATTTTATACTAACAGTAGCTTACGCTTCTAGGAGTTACACATGTAAATGTTTTACACTCAAATGTGACATTCAATGAATGTATTGTATTTGATACAATTCCTTTACAGAATGATGTTTGATTAACACATTTCTGTCTAATAAGAATAGTACGGCTAAGCTCTGTGTTAATTCGAATAAGGCTGTTGTTTTTGAACAGTCATTTCTTTGTATTTTGATTTCAGAAGTTATGACTCTTTCTTGCACTGTTTCTCGTAAGCACCCCTAAATGGATGTTTAGGTACATTATTTGAGCAATTTTAGTATTGTGGTACCTTTAACTACTTATTTTCATGCTGTCAGGTGATTGGGGATTGTTTTTCTAATAAGTATTTCTGTCACTTAGCAACACTCAGTGTCTTCAAAAAAATTTTTTTCAGCTTCTAAGTAATTTTCATATTCAGAATGGTAGTACAAATTACAGATATAACAGTGTTGATAGCATCACCAGTACAAGGTAGTTGTGTGTGTAGCCCAATATCATCAGTTTAGTATTCTGTTGCATAAAACTCTGTTTGGAAATTTGGAATTATAAAAGAAAAAAAAAGTCCCTGGTATTTTTGTGGTCTTTCTTCTTAGGTGATTTTCAGATGCATTAAAATGGGGGCTAAACTATGTTTTCATCTATAAATTTGATTTAACCTGTCCCGGATTGTGAAACATTAGATTCCCATCTTCTCTTAAACACTGCTGCTTGTTACTGCTGCCTGGTATTTTATTTTGCTCACTGTTGTTCTTAGCTTGAAAGAAGCACCTTTGAGGTCTTACTCTACGCACTCCTTGTTTCAGGTTTCCTCAAGTACTTGCCAATCTGATGCAGCTAATTCTACGGAAACCTGTCAGAAGTCGTCATTGTTTCAATTTGCAGAGGTGAGTTTCTTTAAAAAGCGTTGTCTTCCCCAGTGTTTTCCTTTTAAGAAACATCTAATGTTCAGCTGAAAGAGAAATCAAAAATTTTTAACTAAAGTTCATGCCTTTATTTGTTCCTTCTTTTTGGGTTTATGGTACTGGATCATTTATCAGGTTAGATAGGTCAGACTGGAAGTGCAGGAGTGTGTGTTTAGGAACATGGTGGAAACCCTAGTGCAATAATGGAGCTGTGGTTTAAGCAGTAATTTAGAGATGTGTCATTCCTGCACTTAGTTTTAAACTAGAGTCTTACTAACTAAAGTTCTAACATGTATCTTTGGATGTTACATTATCTCCTTTATCTATTGTGGCTGCTTTAGTCATTGACTCCATCAATTCTGGAATTTCCAAAATTTTCTTCTATTCTATAACCATCAAATAGCTCTATACAACTATGCTTTAGTTTTGCAATGTACAACATTTTTGTCAATATATTTCCAGTTATTGCTAGAAGTGCAACCGTAGTGTTTTGGGTTTTGGTTTTTGTTTTTTTTTTTCCCCCACGTATACACTATTTCATCCAAGTTTTAATGGATTTCATTGACATAACTAACATGACAAGAATGAGGTTGCAAAGAATCCTGGTCCTCTGCAAGCCTCATTTGCATGTTTATATCTCTCCAAGTTTTGAAATTATCATAATCAAGTGATACATAAATATTTAGCTGTATAAATATTGATTGTACAGGACACTGGGTGGTGTTTGAGTAAATGCATCTGGAAAGAAATTTTGTCGTAGCAGGGGCTTCTTCTTACTACCTGTTTTCACATCAGCTGTGAATCTGACTCCCATGTCTTTAATACTCATTGCTGTGTGCACCTTCACACAGCTCCCTAAATGTCATCACTTATGGAGCAGATATATTGCAATCCTGGCACATAGAAAATGTGATATTTTTGTTTTTGTTTGTTTGTTTGTTTGCTTTAACATCAACCCACAAGACCTTGAGTTCCAGCTTAAGATCTGAGGCTTTCAAAATGTATTAGAAATAAAGCACTGATACTTTATTTCTGATTAAAGGTAATGGCCACAGTGAAGTACATAACCTGTAGTTAGGCTCTTATACAACCTGCTGGCTTTTCTTGTTAGGAAGAGGAAATGCCTGGTGTGCCAGCAATACTGAGAAGCTTCTTAAAATTGGTTGATTCCAGTGTCATTTATGATACTTCTATGGTAATAATTCATCATCCATCTTCAAGTATTTCTAAGATGCTTTTGCATACTTATACCGTCAGTTGAGCAATGTCATACTTTGTGTAGTTCCTCTTGATAATGGTCTGTTTCTTGAATTTCACTGCCAAGTCTTTCAAAGAGTAAAACAAATACCAGCTCACTTAATTGTTTTCAGTTCATTTTACAGTGCCCAAGCAGGAAAGTGCCAGAGCCATGTGGTAGTAGGCAGGAATTGTGTTGTGGGCTGCAAGATTTGCTCTTGCTAAGGGCTTGTGACCCCTGGCTTTTCCTTACCCCTCAAAGAAGAACCTCAGTGGATGCCAGGAAACAAGCTCATCCGCACCACTAAAATACCCGGTGTAGAACTAGCTCACTGGTGATCAGTAATTAGAAATGCATATTAGGTAGCTTACTTTTCAAGGATGTTAAACAGTCTGTAGTCAGGCTGCACCTAACCAGTACATGGTAGGTATGTGTGTCAATGGCAAAATAATCAGCACTTGTACCAAGGTCTAACATTAATCAGAGATGTCATTTGCAACAAAAATAATTGACACAAGTTAAACAGTATAAAATGCAGTTACCTTAGTGTCTGGTATAGATCTGGTATCTCAAAGTACCTGCACGCATTGTGTCCCTGACCGCACTTACCTTCCTTGCTAAGTAGCAATTTGTGCTCTGTCAGCACCACCATTCTGCAGTCTCAGGTCTTTTGCTGAACTGTGAAATACAATATAGTGTTAAGTTTTTGTTGCTAACCCTCTTTTGACATATCAGTGGGCAAATAAAAGCCCTTCAAAAAAGTCTTAGCCTGTTCTATTGATCCTAGGAAAGATTTTCCTTGTGAAAAATAATTCAGGATCACCATTTCACAGATCACCCATTTATGTGTCTCCTGGAAGGCAGACACTGTTCTTTGTACGAGTGTGCTGGGACTCGTGTGCATGCTCTTAGGTACCAGGAGTCTTTCTGTATGATGGATCAGAAGTTTAGCACTTTGAAGTTTAATATTGAAACTGAAGAGTTAGGTAATACAAACATAATTGTTTTCCTGACAGATCTCTTCAAGCACATCACAGCCTGGAGTCCCGGGAGCTGTAAAACAAACCGAGGAATCTGCATTGTTTCAGTTTGCTGAGGTATAATAGCTGAAATATGGTGGGGGAGGATGGGAGGAAGCAAGGAACCAGTAAGAGTTGTCACTGAATGGCTAAGCACCCTGTCTTATAAGTGATTCCCATCAATAGATGTTTATCTTCATGACAGCATTGTGTTAAGAAAGTCGTGGGGGGAATAACCAGTGATTGGATGAGATGTTGGCCAGTTCTACCAGCTGTAGCACACACAAAAGATACTGGGCTTGTGAACATTACCTGGCCTTCCATACTAAAGGACCACTGCAGACGTATTTTCCAAATGGCCTTTTAATTTACATCTAGGAAAACAACAAATAAAAGACATTCTGAAATGACACTATGCACTGCCTATGGAAGAGGCTGCAGCAGTGCAAAATGGCAACTCCCCTAAAGGCAGGAATCCTTTGAAAAAATAACCTTGCGGGTCAAAGGAAGCTTATCGCAACAGCTACAAGGATATGTAACAGCATCATTAGGTGGTGACTTATAAAGGCTATAAATTACCCATAAGTATGTAAGCTATCCTCCTTCCTCCACGTATTGAAGATTGGGAGTCCTTAAAGATTGCTTTTAAGAATTTCTTCTCACAGGTATTTGATGTGCCTCTATGAATTGACTTTCCACACATATACTCTACTTGCCCGTTTGGGGGAGTCTGGTGCTGCTTGCAGAATCAGTTATGCTAAAGATATATTCAATAGGGTGTGTCTGAAAAGACTGGGATTGGAGGTGGTGCTATTGTAGAGGAGCATAATGAGATGAAAAGATACCCTGTTTGTTATTCCATGTGCTTACAGAGGTTTGACTACATACAACACTCTTCTTCCTGTTACATGTTAAGATAATGGTGTACTGTGTGGTTTTAGCTTGGCTAGGATGGGCCTTGATATATTTCTTAGGAGGCCCAGTTAAGAAAAAACAATTTACTGATTCAGGTGCTATAAAATACCTGACTACAAACACCCCTATAAAAGATACAATAGAGTTAATAGCTCTAATCATGAAGGTGTTTTCGTATGTGCCACCTTTTTTTAAAGTTACAAGTTAATTTGGAAAGTTCTTTTGAGAAAATTAGTGAAATTGAGCAGGATGAAGCCATGTGCTGAAGCCAACCTTTTAAACCAAGTAAAAGATATAAGCTGGAGAACATTTCCTGTGAATTTTATTGCAAAATATTGCACGAGTGAATCTGCTAACTTAGTTTCAAAAATATTGGCTATCTACATTTTAATTAAACAGCAATTTTAGATATCTGCAGAGTTGAATAGGGTATGAATTGCCTTTAGTACAGCATTTTCAAATTGTCATGTAAAACCTGACTTAGCCATACTTTCAAAATTTCACAGAACCTAAAATAATTTCCTCTCCTAACTGAACAAACAACAAAATGACAAACCTGAAAATTGTCATACGGATGTGACAGTGCATTGAGTTGCATACCACTACGCTGAGCAAGCTCATTTGGCACATTGGAGTGCACGTATGAATCATCAAATGTTAGGTAGAAGAGGTGCTTAGAAAGTTAATTAGAAACTGGAGAGGACACTTTTAAAGTCGGGTTTAATCTCTTTTTCTTGTAAAAAATGTTAAAATGTGTCTGCAGTCTGGAGGGGGTTGTATTTTTTTGGTTGTTTTTTCAGTGTCTGGAAATAAGGGACAGAAATCTGGAAAAGCAAAAAACAAAACAATGACCAAAAAAAAAAAACCAACACCAACCCAACCAAACGAAAAAAACCCCCGTGTTTGCCATTGTTATTCCTCTTGTATTATACTGTTGTTGTGAAACCTTAATGGCAGTGACTAATGTTATGTTTTATCTATAGCAATAGAGAAATGGTGTTTTTTTAAGATTACAGCCTGATTTCATTTAAGTTGTTCCAGGGGAAAGTATTGAGCATGCTACAGAACCTCTTTAAGCTTTCTCCTCCCTGCTATTAAAGCCGCTTATGCTCTTTCAAATATAAGGGCTTTCATTTGCACAGGATGCCTTTGTCAAGTTTGGCAAAAATCCCGTTCCTTACTGTGTCACTTCTTACCGGGTCCTGTCTATATGAATGCATTACTGCATTTAATAAGCTAAATTATGGTAAGCAATTTGCAGTAGGCTGTTGTCAGCAATATACAGTGCTACAAAAGAAAAGAGGGAGGGAGAGAATGTAGTTATTTAGCCAGTAGCCAAGTAGACCTGTGAAGAAATGTGAAGTGTGCTGTGGTCTGATGTGCCTGGAGACTTTTGGCAGACGTCCCAGCTCAGTTTTGGTTCTGGCTGGGTGTTCTTCATATGTTCCCTTTCTCTTTGCCGTCTTTGCAGCAGTGTGAGTAAGAGTGCCTCTTTGTGAAGATAACGATCCCATTGAATAGACTTGCCATTTAAAATGGGCACCTTTACCCGGGAGTACAAGTCCCCTGTCACTCAGAAGGAGCTCGTTGCATGTAGATGTAGCATGTGATTCTTTCTTCTTTACAGCCTCGGTTAGCCTTTCATCTGTTTGTCTGTCCCAAGTGCTATAGTCTTCAATTAAAGCTGTTGAGGATATGGCTAATGAGGGCTGTCTAGTGACTTGCCATAACAGATAATGAAAATCCCAGGAGTAGGACTTTGTTGGGTCCCGCGGATCCGCAGGCAAGCGCCTTGGAGGTCTGCAAAGATGATGTGATGTCCTCAGAAGAGTTTTTGAAATTTGGAGTGTTGCCAAGTTACGGTCTTGGCTTTCTCATTCTGCTCTGCTCTTGGAAATACTTGGCCCTACTTTTGTCCTTCTTATTCATACCTTTACGGAAAGCCATTATATAGGCCAGTGATTTCTGAGCAGTGGGCTGTGTTCCTTAGCATGATGGCTGTTTGCAAGCTGTCTGCTCACATGGGCTGGTTGCTGTCATCCTCCTTGCCATGTGAGAGAAGCAGAGCAGATGGGACCCCTTGCTCTCTTGGTCTTACTGGATGTGTGTTTGGCAAACGCGAACAGATGGTGATGACTGCTTCATAGAGAAGAAATACGAGTACCTCTTAGTTTTACCTAGTTAAACTCTCATCCGTTATTAAATAAAGATGCTTTCTGAGAGTGGAAGCAGTAAGATTGCTAGTTTACCCATCTTAAAAACAAAATGAAGCCAAAACCCAGAAACTCTTCACTTTCAGCTGCTTTTCTGAAGTTTTTCTCTAGGTGATTTAATCAAAAAAAAAAAAAACCAATCACGTGCAACATGCAACAAGGTGAAATTTTCTTTGCTAGTCCAGTGGGTTAATATCATTTAAGAAAAATGCATGCTTGAGGATGATTTTGTCCCTGCTGCGTTCTCACATACTCACTTTGAGCGGGCTTGTGGGCAAGCCTTTCTGTTTATTTCTGTGCCGAACAGAAGGTTTGAATCCAAAACTTTTGGTCAAAATGCCTTGAAATTGGGAATGCGAGAGCTAGGTCAGTATCTTCTCTTCCAGCCTTCCCTTAAATAAAGCTGTAATCTTCCCAGCTAAAGCCGTTACATAAAATAGATGACTATATTTGCTGTTTGCCTATATACTGAAATTATTAAATATCCGTGTTTAAGTGAAATGCCTGTTCTAGGAGGGAAATGAAAAAGTGGTACCATGGAACATGCTTCTTATGCAAACTAGAATGTAATATACTAGCTAAAATGCTGACCTGCATTGTAATAAAAGATAACAACTTGATCCTAATGATCCCCAAGTTAAACGTCTACAAAAGAAGGGGCTATTCATGGTTGTAGTACTGCAGGTTCTGATTATTCTAATTAGAACTGGAAGATGGTGCTAAGACAGGGAATGAGATCTGTAATCTCACTAAGAGCTGATTGATCAGCCATCCTCTTACTTCTGATGTTTGGCCATCAGCTTTGGCAAAATTAATTCTAAGTTTATGTCTCTTGCAGTTTGTTTTCTTGACTATGAAGAGAATTTTTTTGCTGAAGTGAAATTTTGGCTTCCTCTCTTTCTATTAGTACTACAAGGATCTCGCTTGCATTCTGTTAGGAGTACCCATTCTATTGTCAAAACAAAATTCTTTAGTCTTTCCTCACATTGTGCATCAGGAGGCAAGATATGCCTGCATATTCTCATGTTATACTTCAGTGGGCGGGGGGGGCAGGGTTCTGTCCCTTTCCTTGCATTGATATTGCCCTGAAAAAGTCATGAAAAGTTGAAAATGTATTACGGCAGAAAGATAAAAAGTTGAGGCCCTCTTCCTGCAAAGTGTGGTGTACAAGATCACTTACTTCAGTGGGGTCCTGAGCAGATTCACTGAACTGTCTCAAAGCAAAACTAGGATTTTGAATTATTTTAGTTTAATTCTAAAAATCATTATTAATGCACATTCAAGTATTATTCACTGTATTGTAAATAGCTTGCAGGAAAATGGATGTTCTGGATTGGGGTGCAGTGGGGGTGTAATGAATCCCCTTGATAATTGAAAAGTAAATTCTTCAAATAATCTTAATTCAAAAGACAGTAAATATAAAGAGAAAGGCTAAGCTGATAATTTTTGCATCTGAAAGATCATGGTCATAAGTGTGATTTTTGTGACAAGGCAGATGCCACAGAAACACTGGCAGTCTTGCCCCTAATCGTAGGGCTTTTCAATGCTTCCAGGTCAAATACTACCATGTAATGCCATGCCAAAAACGATCAAATACGAGAAATAATTATTAATTCTTGTGTTGGTAAACTCATAATGCTGCACTTGGAAGCAGGTCAGAAAAAATAGGCTGCAAAAGCAATTCCCTGAGGTGCGGTGGTAGTTATTTACTCAGTGCTGGTTGCTGGCACACCAACATCTATTTAGAAGGCTGGATTTGATCACCAGACTTAAGGTCTTATTTCTTTTTTCTAACTAAAGAAAGTGAAACAAGCAGTGCCTGTGAGGACAAATGGTCCCCTTCTATATCTAACCAAATGGGAAATACTGCCCAGGCTTTCCGGGAGAATTTTATTTAACCTTGACCACCACAGTTCATGTTTTTAAGCAACAGGTACGTCTCGTTCACTTAGTCACGTAAAACACAAGTAAAACACATGTAAAATGATAGAATATTAGCTGTGGACAATACAAACGTAGAAAAGAATCCATGAGCCTTATTCTAAGGAAGAAATTCTGTGTTTGCTTGTATCCTGCTGACTTCTAAATGCCTGTTAAGTGTTTCTTGGATGGGATTGCCTATCTGAAGTAGGGCCTTCTGCCAGGAAGATCTAAAAGTATCTAATTTAACTAACTCCTTAATTTTTTCATTCTTTTTCTCCCTTCCTTTCTGTCTTTCCTGTGTGCCACTGAAATATTTTCTCCTCTGTTCATTTGAAACCTAGATCTCATCAAATACTTCCCAGTTGTCAAGTCCTGAGCCAGTAAAGCACTGTGGGAAGTCGGCACTCTTCCAGTTGGCAGAGGTAAAGTTACATAGCATCACAATGGGAAGATGTGTGTATCTTTTCCCAAAAAAAGTATGAATTGCGTAAGGTTTGTTCTAGTATCAAATTTAGTATTTCCAGAAGCATAAATTAGTGAATAATGGAATAACAAGAGAATTAGGCAGTGGCAATGGCCCCAGGGACCTAGCTTTTCTTTACACACTTGTTAATGTGCATAGTTTCTTGGAGACCGCACAGAAAAAGTTACACTTCTTTTTAGAAAAAATAGCCTTATAACTATAATAAAAACAATGCTCAGGACAATAGCAAAGGCAAGAGACAACAGCATTTTTCTTAACGAGGAGCTGAATACCAGGATTCAGAAAGTAAATCTTTGGTATAAGGACTGGAAGGTGCACTGCGGAATGGGGACCAAGAATAAGAAGAGAAATGTAGACTTTGAGATCATCAGGAATCTGTATGAAGAGTTGGAAGTTGAAGCAGTGTGTTAAGTTCTGAAATCGCAGCTGTCAGGAGTAATCAAGTATACTAGGTCAGGTTTCCCAACAGTACTAGAAATTCTCTGTAAGTCTTAAATATAACCTTGTCGAGGTGTCCCCTTTGATATGTGTGAATCACTCAAAAACCTTTGAGGCTTGGTGTGCAAATATTATTCTTCTTGATGATTGAAAGATGAAGATACATGCTGCATTCCAGGTAAATAAGGGAGGATGCTAGCACCTTAGTAGTACACTTCCCCTCTCCCCCCCTTTTTTTTTTCCTTATCTAAAATCACTTCCTATTTCAGTGAGGAAAATGGCTCTCTGGATCCCATCTAGTGGCATCGAGCCATATGTTCTTGCTGGTGAGGTTAATCTGTCTCAGGGAAAATGTGGAAGCACTGAAATAAAAGTATTTCATGCCTTGTTCCATGGATAGTAATGCTACTATCTGACTTTATAGGAACTTATATGAGTGAAAGAAAACCTGCCTTGCCCTACAGGCATTCCCTGGCAGTAATAGAGTTTGTGGGTGTGTGCTATGTTGTCAACGGTACCTACGCAAGGGTGATTACAGCTGACTGTGGTCAGTGATCCATAAGGGCATTTGGCTATTGCAGCCCTGGGACAGCAGAAAGGCTGGTAATATTCAGTGAGGGACACCAGAGGTTTTTGAGGTGTCCTCTTACAGGACAGCAGCAGGCTTTTGAGTAGTGCTGTTCCGGAGTAAGGCTGTTGCTGAGTGCAGCCTGACTTTTGGAAGTCAGCATTAAAAGTTGTGATGTGACTGTGAAGCTTGTGAAGCCCTAATTTGGGGGAAGGACAGGTGCTTGTCCACAGGAGCGCAGAGTTTGTACTGCAGTTGTTGGAAAAAGTGAAGCTAAGTCTGGCGGTGTGACGTTTGCATATTGGACAGGTTTCCGTGATCTATCTCTCTCAGTGACTGCTCAGATGGATTCCTACAAACCTAATTTAATATACAAAATGAATGTTAAAGGCTCTGATTCAAACTGAGAAAAGCATGGCAGATGTGCTAAGCACATCCTCCTTGCCTCTAGCTCTTGTAGGACATTAGTTTTTTTTTTTTTTTTTTTTCTTTTTTTCTTTTTTCCCTTTCCTTCCCTTCCCAGTTTTGGAGAACTCCGTAATTTTGGATTGTAATTGGATAAATAAAATGTGAGAGATTCAGCTTAAGTTTTCAGATAGCAGTTCGCAACCTGGTTTGGAGCATCCCAAATAAACCGTGTTCATTATCACCTTGAGGGTGTCTTAGATTTGCGAGTTCATTTGGCAGATATCTGTGCCATGCCTCTAATTCCAAACCACAGATGCTGTGCACTGGAGGGGAGTGACTGCTGTCTCCATGCTGCTGGCATGGCAGGGGTCTAGCGCGTGGGAGCCTGTCTGCTTCAGCACACCACACTGCTCTGCTCCTCCTTTGTCTCTCTGCTGTGTGGGTTAACCAATTTTATCTTCTTTTCTCCCTGCCCCCCTTCCCTATGCCTTCCTTTTTGATATTTCACAGTATTTCACAGATTGTGATAAAATAAAATGCAGAAGTGGGTTAAATTATTTTCTAAAAAATTCTGAGAATTTCTAAGTTTCTAAAAATGGTTGGAGCAGCCTGGGAGGCTGTTGCTGATTAGCTCTGCTGAGTCTCTTGCTGTGCCTAAATGCGTGCTTTGTCTTTAGCCTTCAGTGCGGAGGCATGAGAGCGAAGGGAGGCAGTGGTGGGGGTGCGCGTCACCTCCGCAAGGCAAGGAGGCCACTTCTGCTGCAGGGCGCTAGCAGCACTCACAACGCGGGGCTGTAAGTGGCGTTTGGAGACTTGAGCTGTAATGGTCAGAGCTGGGAGACGCTGTGGAGAGCTGCAGCTTCCAGTAGACAGAGATACAGCATTGCTAACTTTTTTTGTTTATTTCTTTTACGGCAATGATGGGTTGATGTCTGCAAAATCAACTTTGTGGGCCAGTGTTGGTTGAGAGCAATGAAAACTGAGTTTGGGGGGATAGGGGGAGCTAAAAGGCTGTAAACCTTTAGTTCCCCAGTCCCTAGAACTCCCCCTTTTTCTAAGGAAGCAAGTATAAGGAACCTGCAAGCCTTATCAGAGATTATGGGATATGTCCTTAAAAATACGTAATTTTCTTCATACTAATGGCCAATCCTGAGACTGATCCTTTTAATTTGTTTAGAAAAAGATCATTTCATTGCACCTAGCTCAAAAGTGATACAAAACACTCTCAAGTATTGAAAAGGATCACGACCTGGTACAGGAAAAAGATTCTGGAGAATAATCAGCTACTTGCTTGCCAGACAGCCTCCCGTACTCTTGAGGAGTAGTAAAGGTTACCAAAGGCTTGAGGGATCCTACTTCACTTTGGTTTCATAGCATTTCTTTTATATGAGTCCTATAGGACACTAACAGGCAGTGCCATAGCCAGGCAGGAGTAACCTTCTTAAGATATGACAATGAAATGATTTTGCAATCAAATGTCCAACTAAGCCTTCAAAAACACCACCAGCTGGGTTGCATGCTGGTGTAGATTGGTGCTTAGCTGCTGGAGTCTGTTTGTGTGTGAGAGCATGTGCTTCAGTTCATCCTACTCTTCAAAGGGAGTCCTGACAAGAAGATCCCCAAATCTGGAAATAGCTTGTAGTGTCCAACGGTATTATCCACCGGAGCAATGGTGGAGCGGGGTGTTATTTGTAACAGCATGCACAGGTCTGCACTTTTTCAGTATATAATCTTATGAATGAATTTTTGGAAGAGGGAGGAAATAATCTCTTCAAAAGCTGTGTGATAAACGTAAAAGAATTGTGCTAGTGAAATAATGTTTTTCTTTTTTCTCCCCCTCTGTTTTTTCTTTAGATTTCTTCAAGTACATCCCATTCAGGTCCTTCTGATTTAACAAAACAGTGTGGAACATCAGCATTATTTCAACTGGCAGAGGTAATATTAAAATCCTGGTGACTAATTACCACAGGTGCAGTGGGGCGGAGAAGTTAATGATGTTGATTGCCAAAGTCTGGAAGGCAGAACAGTGCTAAAGTTATAATTACCCTGTTGCTTATAGAAGCTTAAATTATCATGGCTTGAGTGCCACAAGTCAAGATTTCCCCAGGCTAGCCATCAACTTGGAGGTTTCTAAGAGTCTGTGCTGCAGCTGAGAAGAAGTACCAGTCCCTGGTGGCAAAGGGACTTTCCAATCACCATTGAAATTGTTTCAATTCCTTGTTTTAGAGTTTGGGGTTTGGTCTGTTTGGTTTGGCTGGGGAGGCACAATGCGTTGAGAAAGAGGGCTGGATTAGTAGGGCTGTTACTCAGATTAGGGCATTGCCATTACGAATACCTGTTAAAGGCCATTCGTTGTTTTCATTTCTTTTTGCTTTTCATGCCTACTGTTTTTTGAAGCGGGGAATAAACAGGTCAATAACTTCCATAGAAACTCTGCTATGATACTCTGAGCAGATCCTCCTTCTGGGAACAGTTACAACCAATGGCTTCGTATTGAAATGTTGTATTTATTTTGTTTCTAAGCTTTTTTTTTTCCCCCCAAGCTTTCCTAATCTCAAAGACTGAATTGCAAGTTTATTTAGAGCTCACAAAACAGAAGTCGCTTTTTTGTAGCCACATCTGTAGCCCTCTGTACTATTGGCTACTGTAGAGGCAGCAAAAGTATAAAGAAAAAAAATCCATTGGCGAGGGGTATGTGTGTTTAAAAGACAAAATATTATTACTGTCCAATGAGTTGCATTTTAAAGATTGATCTTTAGCTTTTGAAAATCACAGGCTGTGTTTACATTGCAGTGCAGTAAAAAAGTCACAGAAGTACCTTGGTACCAAGAACCCACCTCAGCACAGCTGTGGGGTTCTCCTCTGCATAATTTAACTTGCTTCCTAATAGACACTGTGCTGCCCAAGCTCCGGTGTTTCCAGTGGTCAACTTAGCTTGACCTGAGCCAGATCAGGAGTTTCTACCCTGTGCAGCAAGAATTTTGGAAACTTACTACAAAGCGTTCTATCATTGGCGTTATGCTGATACATATATTGGTGTAAGAGATATTTTTAGTTTGCAAGAAAAAAATGCCTTGCCGATTTGCGAAATCTAAAATTGACCTAAAGAGAACCCAATGATCTGGAGGGTACATCCACACTGACCACATGGCCCGTGGGCTGAGCTGCAGGATAGGAAAACTCCTGATGTCTGGTTCAAAGCAAGCCTCTTCCATCTGGTTTTGCTCCAGGTGGCTGTTTGGTTGGCATTTGTTTTAAAAACAAAATAGCACTGTGAATTCAGCTTGGGGGCTTTGAGAGGGAGAATAATAAGAAGAAAACATGTCTTCCTAAGGGGAACTGTGTGGTACTGTGAAGGACTACCCTCTGTAGCACTGTCAGCGTAGCTTACAAGTGATCCAAAACCAAGAGGATCTCCCAAATCAGTGCTGCAGGAACATGGCAGTTTGAGAACCTTGTTACAGCTCTTTTTTTGAATATCGCTGTTCCTCAGACAGTATGAGGGTTTTGGTTTCCATTAATGTTATCTCCAGGAGGAGATAACCATGGCAACCACTGCTGCTTTGCAGTTCTTTGCAAAATAAGTCTGTGACATGAGAAGAAAGATTTGGAAGGCTTTGTTACTATTTTCCAAATTATTTTGCACATTCAAGAAAAGAAAATAATATCGATTACTGAGATTTGATTAACTTTTTTCACCCCCTCCTTCAGGGCCATTTGGAAGATGGAGGAACGAATTGTATATAGGAACATTTGGGAGTTGAAGGGGGTATGGATATGAGATTTCAAGTAACGTGTCTGTGGCAATAGTGGGAGATACTGTGGTGTTCTGCTGCATTTATGGTATTCTGAAAATCAATCTAGCAGTGGGTTTCCAGGTTATATAAAAGGCACTTAAAGGATCATGGAAACGCCACTGAGATCAGTTGGAGTCTTTTCCTATTACAGCAGTAGAACCCTCCAGCCTTATTCTAGCATTTAGCCATCATCGCATCAGTTTCACTAGGGCTTCAGCGTCTTTTTTCAATATTGTCCTTTAGCATAGTTTGCTTTCCTGAACTAAGATGCCAGAGAGATTCCCTGTGTAATGCTCTAGTTAATATAGGTAAGTAATGTTAACAGTTGATCTTTGTTTCATGGGACTATTTTTAAACTTGTTTTAGATGTGCCTTGCTTCAGAAGGAGTAAAAGTGAAAGAACCTGGGAAAACAAAAGTAGAAGCACCAGAGGATGTGGGAAGGGAAGTTCCAGAGGAAATGGAAGTAGAAGAACTGGAGAAAACAACCATAAAAGACTCCTGTAAAGGAAAAGTAGAACAATCAGAGATAGAGAAAATGCAAAACTGGGATGAGACAAAAGCTGAGGAATCAGAAACTGCAAAATGCAGAGATTTTACTAGTCTTGCAATGGAGAGCAGTCCTTTTGAGAGAAATGATAACACAAAGGATCACATGTGCTGTTCTCCAGAGCTTTCAATGGCTGACATGAATATCCTCGGGCTAAAGCCAGAAAAGATAAAGAAGAAAAAGAAAAAAAATAAGTTGGACCGGCACACAAATGAAAAATCTACCCCCAAGAAACCTTGTAAAAAGAGGCAGTCCTCTGAGTCGGACATTGAAAGTGTAATGTATACAATTGAAGCTGTTGCAAAGGGGGACTGGGGTGCTGAGAGACTCGCGGAAACTCCCCGCAAAAAAACCCGCCCTGTCTCAAATGTGAAGGGAAGCGTGTTGGATACAAAATCACCAAAGAAAAAAGTGAAATCGAAAGAGAAGAAAACATCAAAGGAGAAACCCCCAGAGACCACCAAAGAATCAAAGCCTCCCGATTTCCTTAGTATTGCAGCCAGCAAGGAAGTACCCTGTGAGGCTTCTGATAACATTAAAGTGGAACCACTGACCCCAACAGAGGAGGTGGTACCCCAAAGCTTACCAGGACAGGTCAAAACTGAGGACAGTGACTGCGTTAAAAAGATAGAAACCTGTGGCTCCAGGAAATCGGAGAGGTCTTGCAAAGGTGCTCTTTATAAAACTCTGGTGTCAGAGGGCATGCTCACATCTCTGCGCGCTAACGTGGACAGAGGTGGGTGGCTTTTGAGTGTTTCATTTACAGCATGAACCGCAAAAGCCTGCCTGGAGTGGGAGGAAAAGCAAAAATCCATGTTTAAGCTGGAGTTTGAGCAATGTGTGATGGGAATGCTGTGTCTGGTCGCCTGAGATACTGGGGGCAAGTGGAGGGGACGGACTCCATGGTTCAGGAGGTCTTCTCAAGTCTTGCTGTGTGTGTTCGTACTTTACCTCACAAGCTCTTCATCCCTCCCTTTTTGTCTTTCATGATCTGAGATTTAGGCTTCTGACCGAAGGCTTTGTTGGGTAATTTGTCAGCCTGATGGTAGATGTATGCAGGACTTGTATTGTATGTAATCCTGAACAATTAGCTTGTTTCTGTATAAACAACTCTTGTGGTTGTGAGCATAGTTCTCAGTCCTACAAGAGGCAAATGTGTTGTGCTTTTGCTTTGGTTGTTAGTTTTGTTGTAGGTGGTGAGCGAGAACCCTTTATCTTGTGGAGGGATAAATTTGCGATGATTTCTGGAAGCTTTCGTGGAGATGTCTTGAAATGTATTTTTCCAATTAGATTTATTTGTGTAATGAGAACAGTCAGAAAAGAAAAAGATGTTTGTAATTTAGGGAAGTTTATTACTGTCAATCTACTCATCTCTTTCTCTTCCTTCATACTTCGAGAGATCCTGACTTTAGAGGTAGTATAAAAACCCGGGGCGGGGGGGAAAGAATAGTTGCCAATGTCATCATTATCTAGTTTAAAATAAATAAATAAATGTTTTGTAACCCCCTCAAGAAGATCAAGCATCATAAGTTGCAGTACTGAATGGGACACAAGCTCCTTCTGAGCCCCCTTTGTTTTGGCACATTTTTCTAAAGATAAGAAACAATTTTCTGCCTTCATCCCAGGAAAAAGAAGCTCAGGAAAAGGCAACTCCTCAGATCATGAAGGATGCTGGAATGAAGAAAACTGGGCTTTTTCCCAAAGTGGGACAAGTGGGAGCAAAAAACTGAAGAAGCCTAAGCCAAAGGAAGAGTTTGTTTTCGGGTAAGTTGCAGCTTAACACTGTTCAAAGTTTTAGGTAGGTCAGCCTGGTAACTTATGAGTGAGTCCCCCTCATTGCAGCAAGTGAACTGCATCCATCACTCAAATAATCACAATTAGACAGAATTCCTGAAAATTACAAACTCCGCTGGGCTGAGTCATGCTCTCAATACCTGTTGTTTATATACCAAAGTAATTCCTTTGAGATCTTTCCTGGTTTACACTACTGTAAACAGATTTGAATGACATTATTTGCTCACTTCTGAAAAAAAAGGTACAGTATTTACCCGCTCAAGAGGTGATGAAGAGGGTTACTTATATTTTCAGAGCACTTTGCAAGCAGTATTTAAAGTTCTGTGTAGGTGTTCAATCGTCATAAACAGAATTAGACTAGAAAGAATAGATCTTTTTGCCTGCTTGGAGAGATTGCTTACAGAGGAAGAGTAAACAATGTTCTAATATTGGCAAATAATTTGATAAATACATCATTTTTCCATTGTAGAGACAAGATATTTAAACTGTTCATGTACACCATGAAGAAATTAAATATATCAGAAGAATAATTAATGATTACAAATGCATTAACATTTCGCAAGGCCACATAGAATTACTTTTCTAGTGTATGAGTAACAATTTTTGTCAGAGTATTACAGATTTATTTAACTGCAGGCGTAGTTGTTAAATCTGCTTAGCCATTCATACTTACTTCCAAATTCTTGAAGACTTCCAGTTATCTGAATTCAGAGGGTGAAAATGAATTAAAAAGGAGTAGATTTTCCACACTTCATGCTGAAAATTGTAGTGTGTTTCTTTTGTGCAGGCTTGCGGTAGCCTTTTTTATAACCTAGTCTATGTGAAATTTAGCTTCAGCTCACTTTACAGCAAAGATACTAAATTGATGAAAATCTCCAAGTCTTGTTTGCTTGGAATAGTCAAGAAAAATTCATGGAACACTTCATGTATTTTTAGTGCATTGTATATAAGTTTAGTTAGTATTTTTTAAATTTAAATTGAAAGGTTGAAAACTTTTTACACCTAATGATGTGAAAACTGAATGCATCTCCTAGCCAAAAAAAAAAAAAAAAAAAGTTGCAAATGATTTATTCAAAGTAGCTGGGAAAAATTGTGTAAATAATTAATTCCTTTGACAAATACTGTTCTACCATCATTAGCCAGCTGGATGGAGAAAATATGTATTTGCCAATCTTGCTTCTTGATTCAGTTGTGTCATTAATGAATATTGTTTAGTGACCTCTGTAAAGACAGAATCAGTAGTTTGTGGAGCGTAGTTCTGGAGAAGGCATCCATTATCCCTGTCCATTGCACTACCTGATCTTCTGGCTACTTGAAGAGCTGGTTTTACCTCTACCGGCTCCTCCTAACTCTTTCTGCTCCCTTCAGCATCACCTTTGAGCCTCATTTTGTGTGTGTGTGTGTGTGTGTGTGTGTGTGTGTGTGTGTGTAGGGGGGAGGGTCCTTACCCCTTTGGAATTACGTCTTTCTCCCCGTGTCCTCTTACCACCTTCTCCATCAGGAGTTGCCCACACTTCCCCAATGGTCCCTGTCAAGTGTGTTTGTCCATGTGCAGCCCGCTCTTTTGCTGAGCAATGCTCTGCCAGCATGTATCTCCTGGCAGGAATAGGCGGTAGGGCATGAAGACCTCAGCTCAGCTACGTGTGTCTAACCAGACTTGTAAGATGCTCTGAAAATTCATGACGATGTGAATGTTGGTTTTTTTTTTTTTTAAATAATTAATTGCTGACATAGCAATAGCAGCACTCTCCACTGCCTCCATGTCGCACAAGCTATAGGTTACTAGCCAGGATGGCAGCTCATCTGCTTTCAGGGTAGGAGGTCCTTCCTCACTAGAGCTGCAGCCCCTTATATGCCCTTGGGGCAGGAGACGAGGCAGGTGGCAACAGGCAGTGGGAGAGGATGGAATTGCATGACAACTGTCAGAGCAGAAAATCTGCTTGTTTTGTGGTTGTCAGGGAACATTCATGTGGAAGAGAAAGGTAGCAGTACCGAGCACCACTAATGTCAGATATCTTTGTGATTTAAAAACAGAACAAAACGTACACGCACACAAAAAAAAACCCAAAACAAACAAACAAACTCCACCATGCACACAGTCTGCCAAGAGCCAAGGCTGTATTTTAATATGGAAGACTGCTTACCAAAAGAAGTAATGATTACGGAATTAAAATGAAGTACCATTCTGTGTGCTAAAGCTTTCAGAATGCAATTTGTTTGAAGTGCTGCTTCAGAGAGCAGAGAGAAGTGCCATGTTTCTTGTGATACTTCCAAGTGTACAGTGTGTAAGGGCCGACCCTCCGACAGTCATGCCAACTTCTGTCTAGTTCAGGTTTTCCATGGCAAACAGAATTAAAGATGAGTAGAAAATGTCATTGTTCCCCTGTCATTGACAGTGCTATTTATAATCTGCCTAGCTGTACGCATTGCCTTTTATTAAAATACAATTCCTTCTTATGCTCCTGCCTGGCTGCAAAAATTTGCTTGAACAGAGTGCTTATACAAGACCGCGTAGTCATTACAGCCAGAAATGCCGTGCCATACCATCCTGTTCGAGGGTTTGTTTTCATCTGGCTGTAAGGAACAACAATACCATGTGTGTGGATTTCTTGAGTTGTAGATAATCTAGTTGCAGTCACTCAGGTTGGGCTAAAGTATGAGAGATGTTGAGTTTCCTGAAAGCATGAACTAGTTGCATTTTTCACCTTGCAACAAATAAAATATGAGGGGAGGAAATATGATCTCTCAGAACAAGTACAGAGCTAATTCCTACCCCAAAGAATCAGGTTTTGGAATATCCCTATAAGAATGAATAGTTTGACATTTTTCTTCTGGTTTGAATTGTTGTTTCCATTCTGGTGTAAGGACTTTTATGTGAAGTTATTTTATTGGTTTGTTTATTTATTGGTTTTATTGTCTTTTTTTCATTCCCCTCACAGAACAGACAAATCTCCTGTACGAGTTTCTGCAGCAAACAGAGCTACATGTCACCAGTGTGACATTGATTCTTTTTTTTCCCCCCCCCAAATTTAATATATGCCACTAATGTAATCAATTTGTGCTGAGTTACAAATGCAGAAGCTGGAGTGTACATTTTCATCCCAAAGTTGGATTAATATATACTAGTTTGATGTTTACAGTGTGTGTGCACTTCTCTTTCCCCCTCTCACTATGTAGATAGGTATGTGTATGTGCACACATGCTCCTAACAATGTATTTTTTTCTCCAGAAACGGAGTTACATTTAATTTGATTGGTTTTGTTTCCCCTTTAGCTTAGCAAAGTTGGAAGAAGAATTTGAAAAGAAATTCAACAGCCTCCCTCAATACAGTCCTATTACCTTTGACAGGAAAAATTCAGCTGTTCCAAGGAAAAAGAGAAAGGTTGGAAGCGGCTCATCTGAACAACCAAAATCCAACAAAGGTAAATTACCACATGCAATACATTCTTAAGCAACAACAATGCCACGACAAGCTCAGGAATTTATACTTTCTACTTTACTGTTATATGTGAAAAGTGTGAAGTCAAAGAAAACATTTTTGTAGCACTGAAGTTAGTTGGTTCTCACCTGGGTTAGTTTTCAGGATGTACTCTTGACTCCTGATTTTCATGCTGAGTAGAACTGGTTAGAGTTTGTACATGAAATATATTCCTCATAGCAAGCAAATTTATCAAAAACATGAATACTTGTGAGGTAAGTGAATTTGACAAGTTTTCCCAGGAGAAAATGGGGAAAAAATGGCAGATGACCAAAAGGTTACATTAATTTATTTTATTAAAATACAATTCCTTCTTATGCTCCTGCCTGGCTGCAAAAATTTGCTTGAACAGAGTGCTTATACAAGACCGCGTAGTCATTACAGCCAGAAATGCCGTGCCATACCATCCTGTTCGAGGGTTTGTTTTCATCTGGCTGTAAGGAACAAGAAGTTGTTGACATTTTTCAAAATGTAATTTTATGCTGGTTTGCATTTCATTGTAACTTTAGGCTCTATAAATTAAAACATAAAATACCAGAGATGTCTGAATGAAACATTTGGATTTTTTTATGAAGATTTTAACTCTCTATTATAAGTTTGGAGCAAAAATATCCTGACATGATAAAAAAGGGTTAGGGGACAGGAAAACCAATTCCATATCCAATTCCGTTTCTGAGGCTCTTGAAGGGAGAAACTCATGACACATTTGGCTGTTTTATATACAACCAACCTGTGACTCCCCTGCAGGGGTGGTAGAGAAGTGAGAGTATGGTAGGGAAAACTACTTTTAGACTGATGCATACATACAGTACAGAAGCATCACAAAATGAAGGAATGACATACCAGTAATCCTACAAGATAAAAGGATGCTCAAAAGAATCCTCATTATGCACAGTTCACAATGTGAAGCTGGTTTCCTTTTCTGCTGCTACAGTAGTTCCACCAACTGACAGGTTTTCAGATCCAATACTGCTATTTTAGCCAGGTGACCCTGGATTAGATCTATGCCTTTTGAATGCTTTGTGAATACTCACATTACGGTATGCAGGATTGAGCAGCTGTTCTTTTCTAGTGCATGCCAATTTTGGTATTGATTTTTGTATTTATATAATTAGATGTGGAACAGTCACTTTTGCAAAATTAGACTTGTGCTGATACCAAGTGAGTTCTGATTTCAAATGCCTTTCGTTTTTTTTATGGTATATATTTGATAGAACTTCTTCAGCTTCAGTGAGCATGAATGAATTGCTTTAGCCACTGTATTATCATACTGTAATTAAGCAACATCTGTTGGGAACAAGATCTCCTCATCTACTGTGATCTGGCAGTTGAAGTTGTAATAGTAGCTCTTTGGATTTCTTGCTACAGTATTTACCTGTTCAAGTGTCTGTACGTCTAAAAATTTTGCAGGCCCTACGTTGTTTGGGAATGGCACACTAGAACGCTACCTCAAGTCAGGTAGCCCAGAACTGTGTTCTGCTTTTGGCTAGGTTCATATGTGAGAGCTTAACTTTTATCCTTATTTGCATCACTTAAAAAGCTTGGGAATATATTGGGCCATGTCTGAAGGGAAGGTCAGAAACATAACTGCAGGCAGGTTACAAGCCTGATATAAGCAGTTTTGGCACAGCCCTGCGGAGGCGGCCATGGAGCATTTGCTGCCTCTAGCTGACAAATAAGGGCTAAACTAAGCCAGCTGACTTTGCACTGAAGCAGATGGTAAACAGTCACAAGAACTTTTCCACCAACTGAGCAGTGGGGTTGCAACAAGCAGCCCCAGGGCAGGAATATCTGATTGTGACACTGCTGTTTCTGTACTGAACATCTAACCGCAGCCCCGATCTAAATCCAGACAGAGCTAGTGATATCTGCTCCTAATTTCAATGAATGTTGAATTCACTCAAGTTAGCTGGGCAAGCTGTCAGCTTGTGTCAGTCATTCCAGCTCCCTGGAGAGTAAAGTTCAGTTCTCAAGAGGTAGCTGAAAAACTTTCCAACAAACCATTTTTCTTTTGGAAAAGAAAGATTGCTAAAAAGTAAATATTCCATGGCAATGGGTCAATTTTAACTTGGTTTATTTTGTTAGGATGCTTAAAATGAGCGAGTTGTGGATTTGAAACGACCTGAACCAAACTGCATACCAGCAAGCTTACTAGCTTAGTAGGGAAACGGTTCCAGCTAAGCCAAACATTCATTAAGCTGAATCCTCAGTTTAATTTGTGGTGTACTGACAGGCCATTCAGCTTCGTCATGCTGTTGGCTTGCCTGCGAACCGTGACGAGTCCAAAGACTGTTAGAGAATACTGACCTCCAAAGGTGTTAAGCATACAGGTCTGCAAATTAGGCTCCTGCAAGTATTGCAGGAAATGAAAACGGCATATTGTGCAAAATGATAGAGCTTGGTTTGGAATGGTTCTGGGTTTTTTGAGTTATCATGGGTTTTTACACCATCAGAATTAAACAAAAGTAACATCTTATTCTTGCAATGTGATAAGCATGAACCGTGAAGGGCCAATATCATCTTACGGGTGTGACTGTGTTGGGATGTAGGAGACCTTAACTTTGCTCTGCTGTGCTCTGCATTACTGTGTTGTGTGGAGTTGTTTCTGCTGCTTTGCTCTTTCCGTGGGGTTGTCTGTGTCTGTAAGGTAACTAGAAGAGATGTCCAGCAGAAATAGTGCCTACCTAGTGGCTGGGGCCTCTGGATGTTTCCAAACAACAGATAATAATCACTAGGGGTAGGTTTAGTAAATACTCTTTAAAATCATTCCCTGCTTTTTCTGAATGAGCATGTGCAGGATCATAAACTTCCCAGGCATTCTCAGTTCTCAGATAAGCACTTAATTTTTGCAGTCTACGGATCAGTGCCTACTAAATTACATTTAAAATTTGGAAAATAGGTTGGAGTGCTGCACACTAAAACTTCCCCAGGATGTTAGGTGAATAAAAATAGAGAAATGTTTTTGTTTGTTGGTTTTGGGGTGTTCCCTGCCCCCGCCCCGTCCCATATCTAGGGCTGTATGCCTTAATGTGTTTTATTTTAGAGTAAATGGTGTCAGATTGATTTTTCTGTCAAATGTCATTAACCTATACCTACAAGAGGCCTGATCTGCTACCTAACCCAGGATTGTCAGGATGTTTTCCTATTCCTAAGTGGAAAATGAGTGGGTCAGTGCTCACAGACTCCTTCCATTGTGCTTATCATGTCCAGTCCCCACTTCAGCCAGTTCTTTTCATATAAAAACACCTGAAGAACCCTGTAACGTGAAAGCTGTTTCAAATCCACATGTATAAGGGAAAATTTGAACTTTCTTAAATGAGAGGCAGTTTTTTCCCCAGAGCTTTCCAAATTGTCCAAATTCTACTCCCACTGAAATTGATGGGGGTCTTTCTTCAGCGGGAGCAGGATTGAACAAGCTGTAGTGCTTTGGTAAATTCTACCTGAAGCATTTTGAACTGGGAGTGTGCATGTAGAAGAATAATGTCACAAAATGGCTGTAAAATACAGCTATACTGAATCTGTGCAGATGGCCTGCTCCAACATTTGCTGGAGCTGTGGCTGATTTTTTTTTTTTTTTTTTTTTTTTTTTTTTCTTTCCAATGGCATATGTGCCAAAACATCCCACCACACAGAAGTCAGCAGTCGGCAGTGAGTCACTAATCCGCTTGTATGTAAAAATGAGCAAGAGGCATAGTCATTATTTCTGCTTTGTGCTGTGAAGAAATGCTCACTTATACACTAAGCACTTCACTAAAGCTTTCATTCTGGGAAGGCAAGGAGAGGAGTGCATACTGTGCTTTATTTGGGAAAGGGATTGTCTACAATTTTTTTTCGTCTGTGGCCTCTAGGACTAGAAATAAAGCATCAGCTTAAAACGTGTGCTTCTTTGTGGCATTCCTCTTCGTCTTAGCTCGGGGGTTTTTTTTGGCTCGGTTTAAAGCATTCACATGCCTGGAGATTGCATGCCATCATGTTCCAAAGATCATGACCTAAAAATACAGCATCTTCCTCCTGAGAGATGCAGAAACGCACAGACAAATCTGTTGGTCCTGGTTTTCTTACAATCATGTTGAAGTGTTCTCTATTTGATCAGGCCCTTTAAAATAGGGAACTTTGTGAGATCAGAGGGGGCATATGCCCAGAAATGTGGAGGAAATGCAGTTACGGTTTGTTATGTATGGTGGGTTTCTTTTCTTGCTTGCTGCTTCCCCGAGCAGCTGCTGTTGGCCGTAGCAAGTATTCCCAGGAAGAAATCCCTACTGCCCTCAGTGAGGGTAGTGGACAAGCCAGGGATTAGCAGGTGGTTAAATCCTGTGGCAACTGCTGAAGTGCTAGGGAAGGGAAGAACCATGTAGAATATCTCCAATAGAGGACGATAAGCAGGAGAAAAGGACTTACTTTACACTTGCAGATGGCTGTATAACAATAGCAAGTAAACTAACATTAAAAGTTTTTTTCAGCTTTCTATAGGAAATCACATCCACTGCCTAACAGCATGCCTTTTAGGTTAGTTAGTTTTTTCAGTCATGGACTTTCTCTGGATTGAAAGTTGACAAGTGGCATTTGTTCGAAGTCTTGGAGTACTTGCCTGCTGTCCCCATGAAACAGGTGTAGCCCAGCCAGCCCTCCTGTAAACTCCTGCCTGGGTGAGTGTGCCTGAACTGTGCCCCTGGGGCGCCTGCTAGTGAGAGCCTGAACAGGGGTATTAACTCTATCCCAGCCAAAACCAGCACAAATGCCCCCTTGTTCAGCCTCTCTTACATGCAGATGTCCTCTCTGGCCTCAACTATATTTTGCCTTCTCCATATTGGTTTAGTTCAGTTAATTTCTATTAACAGAAAAGCTCTGGTTTTCATACCTGAAAATGCTATGCAAAGGTCCTGTATTTGGCAGTTCATTGGCTTAGGCCTTAGTCTAAAGGCAAGATGGGATGTGGCCATTTTCGAAGAACCACCAGGTAGTCTATTCAGTAATTACTAAACAATTTGTACGTGTAAGTGTGCGAGTGATTGTAATTTGGCTTTTCACAGAGGACAGTAAGTGTATCCTCTAGTTCACTCTAAGTAGTTCAGGCAGGGAGTGTGGATGAAGTTTCTCATGAAGTCAGAAGTTATATTCTCAGATCCAAGTATGACATGTTGACCTAATTAGCTATTAGCCCATCTTCTCTGTCATGGCATTCATGGCCAAAGGCTATTCAAGTGTCAGTGGGCACTGTCTCACAGGAGTGACAGCTAAAAGAGTAGGAAATTGGAATTTTCCTTATGAAAAGGCAGCTTCTCTGTTGACGCTGTTCTCTGTCAATGTCCTTGGATTTTCCATTTGGGAACAAAATTTTATATGCAAGTGGCATGTGCCTTGGAGTACCCTACATGTTGCAGATACAAGCTTATGACAAAGGTGCCTTGGATGGTAGAAAAGAGATGAAAGACTTGGGTTTCTTTCTTCATGCAATGCTTGTCATCTTTCTGTGAGTTTTTCATCTCAGTTCTGCTTAGAGTTGCTGGCACTGGCTGACAGTTTATGATACTGATTGAAATGGTCTATAGGGTGCAGGTTGAGCTGTAGAAATGGAGAAATCTGTGATACTATAGAATGTGTTGCTTATTCCAAGCACCTGCAAAAATCACTAATTTGCTAATTTTAAAAAAAAAAGGTCATAAGAGTCATCTAGTTTCGTACCTCTGTCTTCTTGTGGAACTGTTGTGGGAAGACTTGTGTCTGTTGATGTGCATGAAGCGTTCGATCTTAGTCTTCAGAAAAGCTCAGTTTTTTCACTTAGGCTTTCGCTCAACCTGCCTGAGCTTTTTCATTCCTTGTTTTGCGTTTTTATTGCACTGACACTAGACTGCTTATTCAACTCTGTGATACTCGGGAAGGTATTGTACAATTTGCAGAACGACACTTCAATCAGTTTGAGTGAATATGGCCTCTTCTGTTGAACTTTCTGGTATTTTCTATACAAGTTCTAGGGAAGCTATTCAGATTCAAGCTGATGTTGCCTAAAGTGGTGTCTTGCTTGGACTTTATTTGGTTTGTTGTTTGACTTCTAGATTTTTGGGAGATTATTAATCTTTTCCCAAAGTTTTGATTTCTTCAGTAGTAAAGAACAAGCAGCAGTGAGCCACAAAGCCATTATGTACAAAATCATAGGGTTTCTATGCCTGTTTCTGGCTGGATTTCAGCTTTCAGTAATTTTCAATATTATTCAAACAGCCTAGTGTCTATGAATGGTTTTCCCGTCGTAAGACTAGATCCTTCTTCCATGTGCTGCACACTTTTGTCCTTCTTTCCCTGCATATAGAGAGTCAGTGACAGCAAATTGCAGATGAGTGATGTAGACTTACCTCGATTGCGAGTTACTACACGGTTGCAGTTGTGTCTCAGTAGCCAATGTGTGTGTCTGATTCCTTTTAAGGATGAGGAGGAGTGGAGGAGGCCGGTATTTGTGGTGGGTAGAATCTTGTTCCAAGTCAGCTGTGGATGGGAAGGACACCCTCTTGTTAGGCTATAAGCTGTCTTGTCACCTGCAATGCATCTTATTGCTGTTTGGGCAGGTCTGTTCTTAGCTAGCCTGAAGACTTGCTTGCCTGCTGTATCTTTGGAAATAAGGTTTTAAAGTGCAGTTTCTGAAAAGTAACTCCATAAAAATGGCTTTGCAGTGTAGAGATTATGCAGCTGTTATATCTTTGGTCTGTTATGTCTTATGTTGCTGCTGTATCACTGTTCACTCCATTAATAAGACAAAGGATGGCTTCTTGATAACCTCTGCTAGTGGCATACTTTGTGGTCTGATGTCACATAAGGTGTTTTCTGACTACTACTAGCAAAAACTCTGCTATCAAAGTAGGAATGATACCATGAGCTGGGCATAACCTCACCTTCCTCTCCTGGGAGCTTTTATTTCTGCACTTACTATAAACTCGTTTCTGGTCACCAAAAAGGCAAAGGTAACTCTTGCATCCTGTGGTGGGTTGGCCCTGGCTGGTAGGTAAGTCCCCACCCTGTCACTCGCTCACCCTCCCCCAGTGAGACGGTGGAGAGAATTGGAAGGGCAAAAGCAACAAAAAAACCTCATGGGTCAAGATAAAGACAGTTTAACAAGTGAAGGGGAGGGGGAGAGAAACAAGTGATGCAAAAGCCAGCACTCACCACCAACAAACTGATGCCCAGCGAGTCCATGAGCAATGACTACTTTGGAGAAAACTCTCCCCCCAGTTTTATTGCTGAGCATGACGTTATATGGTGTGAAATACCTCTTGGTCAGTGTGCATCGGCTGTCCCAACTATGTCCCCTCCCAACCTCTTGTGCACCCTCAGCCTACTTGCTGGGGTGGCAGAGTGTGAGAGAGGGAGATCTTGATGCTCTGTAAACACTGTTCAGCAGAAACTAAAACATTGGTGTGTTACCAACACTGTTTTGGTCACCAATCTAAAACACAGCACCATCCAGGCTGCTATGAGGAAAGTTTATTCCATTCCAACCAAACCCAGTACACATCCAAAAGAGAGCGTATCTTTAAACAAGCAAGCAAGCAAAGCCCTTGTTTTATTGTGTGGCTAAGCTTTCCTAAGGTCATCGTTCTCCAAAATGCTTTGTATGCACATAAGCATTGGGAGCTGATGGGTTGAAGTAGATACTGCTGAAAGCCTCCAGAGTCCATTCTGGCAGAAGGTCAGGTTTTGCGCTTCCCCATGAAATGGCATCCTGTATTAGTGGAAAGGGAGGTTGTATAATACGTACTGTGACTGTTGTACCTTTTTAAAAACTGCTAATTAAAAGTATGTATTATTAATGTTGTCTGTAGGTTCATTCCAGTCTCAGAAAAAGAACTTATTCCACAAAATTGTCAGCAAATGTAAGCACAGAAAGGAGAAGCTTAATGTTCCGGACACAGGTACTGGTGCATTACTTAGTTAAGGTTTTGGGCCGCCTTCTCTCTCAATTCAGTCTTGGGGAAATGCTTCTAGACAGAGGTTACTCAGCTCTCTAGTCTTTGATTGCTTTGGTCCCTTATTTCCCTGTCTGCTTTGATTCTATTAGCTCCTGGCTCCAGTTGATGGTATTACCTTATTCCAGTATGATGCTGTTTTGTTTTTCATTGGCATCTCCCTTAATTACAGTTTCCCTACTCCAGACACCATGCAGCAGAGCTGACAAAGCAAGGGCAGTTCTGCAGTTGCCCCTGAAACTCTTTATCTTCTACAGCTCTTAGCTCTTTAGTCCTTTGGTTGCTCTTATTTCCATCCCTTCTATATCAGAGACCATATTATTTATCCCTTTGCCAGAGCATTTATCCATGTCCCTATCTCCTCTCCCTGTGATTTCCTGCTGTCTAGAACTTTGCAGGCTGCAGCTGGTCAGGATGTAAGAGCTTGTTTCTGCACCAGCTCTCAGAAGTACTAACCTAAACCAACCCTCCCTCTGTAGAAATCTTAACCAGCTTTCTGTTTGCCTCAGATTGAAGATAACTTCGACAGTTTTTAAAGTTATGTCCTGGACTTGCTCTGCCTGCTCTCCTGCTGGTAGCTCTCCGAAGTCTTTTTCTTGTTACAGTATTGTAGTCCTGCATACCTACAGACTCACAACTCTGAGGGGCATTTTCAAGTGTACAGTATGTATAGGATTATAGCTTAGCTTGCTTCCCTGGGCCCTTGGGGTTTTTTCCCCTTCTGTTGTCCACACTATCCAAATCACGCCCAGGCTGTTCCTTAGCCCTTCCACTGTGGAGTTCTCTCCCACATCGTCCCTGTGGTGTAGAAGAGCCTCTCTGGTTCGGCTGACTTAAGTAGTTCCATGAATTTCTTCCATTTTTTTTCCCCATCCGTATCTGTCACTTTTTAAGATTCTAAAATGACTATCCCCATCTCTAGTTCCCCCAGCTACCTTTATTTCCCTAAATCTTGGCCATGTCATTTTCTCTCCTTTCCTGATGCTATGTTCTGTGTCCGCTGTGGTGCACGTGCACTATTTTCCCATATAGGCTCTGCCAGCTCTGCTGCATTGAACAGTAGAAATGCTTTGAAATTACCTGCTCTGTTACGTTGTATTTGTACAACGAACATGTTGTGGGAGTCGCTCATGAGAAGTAACTATCTTGCTTCCATGCTAGTGTGAAAAAGGCATCATACATTAACATAGCTTCTATTGGGTGCCATTCAGATTTTTGTCCCTGAATTATTAATAGACCATGTAGTAAATTAGTAAGAAAAATGTGTGTTTAAATTCTCCTGTGGGAAAAGAAACAGAAAGCATTTAATACATGATAGAGTAGAAAATATAAATATCTTAAAATCTGCAGATATAAAATGTGGCTAAACAAAATGTCAAAACCTCCATTTGATTAAAAGAAATCAGCCTGTTTTGATATGAAGTGAAGTGTGCACTATGATCAAAGATTCAAGCCTGGCAAGTGTTGAGTACCCTGGCCTTGTTCCAGCACAACACAGAGGCGTGTCCTTGAAGTTAAGCATGTGAATAATGTCATCGTGTCTAAACATTAAAGATGTGTCTGTGCATTTGCTGGAGTAGGGCCAGTTTGCCAAGTTCCTCCCAAGACTGAAGCAAAGACATGAGGAACGTAGCAGTCTTTTACAGCCCACATAGAAGTTATCAAAGGAAAGACAGTGGATATATATATATTGGTGGGGAACTGCATTTTCTCTGAGTTAAAAGGGGGAGAAAATCTGGGGTCTTGCCTACTCTTAAGTGTACCGTGTAGTGACACTGAAAGCAAAGCGTTGATCAGCAAAGTGCAGTGTGGGTGTGGCCCTGGCAGGCGGCGTACAGCCTTGCCATCGTGGGCTGCCTGCGTCACTTCATCTTCCCGTGAGTTCCTAGGCAGCGGGGCCCTAAACTCTCCACTGTCCCATATTCTGCAGCATTCAAGCTGGGAATCCCAGCATCTTCATTTCAATTCAAATATACAAGATCTAGTGAATCAAACACTAAATGAAAATTTCAACTCCTTTTTGTGATTAGTCTATACTTGCGGTGAGTCACAAGTCGATGATGTGTGGTTTTGGTTTTCATGGAGTTAAGTTTGCTGGAGGAAGGAGCTTGAATATTCTTATAGCTGGAGAGAAGACACTTGGAAGTGTTGCTGTTAGCAGAGGTCATGCTGGATTCATGTTTTGTTGTCTTGAAAAGTGTGTATGCCTGTGTGCAAGTGCAGTAAAGGCAAATTTTGACGTGATTGGATCGTGTTGTCTGGGTCTGTCTCTGGTTTGAGTATCTGAGTGAATTTTGACTCCGGGTGACCACATCGTACACAGCATCACTAGTGCAAATCACTGTATTATGAGTTTGCAGGTGTTTATAGAGATAGATACAGCCCAGTAAAATACCAGTGGACATGCCACAACCACTGCTCCTCCTAGCAGAGAGCACACAGTAATGCAACTGAATATGTTACGAGATACGTCACTTCCTTAGGAAGGCTGACAGAAGCACAGCTGGACCCATCCCTGTTTGGGGAGGTTGAACACCACTCAGCTGAGAGATTTATTTTCTGGTGGGAACTCAAGGCTTTCTGGTGGGAAGCAATACTTTAAATAACAAGGGGTAAGTCGCAACCGTTGACTCCTCGCAGGTACCCTTAGTGAGCTGTGCTGAGGGCTCTTGCATGGTTTGTGTAACAACCAGATGCAATGCTGGCCTCTGCACCAGAAGGGGAGAAGAGGAGATGAACATATATACCAGTCTCAGTACTAGCTGATGTGTGAAGGAGCCCCGTCTCCTGTGGCTGGTAGAGCTAACTGCCTGCTACTGATCCTCCATCAGTTCTCCCACAGGCACATCAGTCTGTACAGCCTTAGCACATATGTTTGAGAAGAACAGAAAATGCAGAAAATTAGCAGAATGACTTTCTGGTTTTCTCTGCTGAGAAAGCCCTGTTGTGTGGGGCCTGCAGCCCAGAGGGAGCCAGAAGCTCTGTGCTGCTGTGCCTTTGGCATCCCTCCAGGCTGGAAGAGGGCTGGGTCAGCACAGGCTCATGCAGCAGAGCTTCCCATCCAGGCAGCTGTTCCATACACCTGGCTTGACCATCTGCTGGTTTGTCAGCTGGTGTCTCTCTGCTTGTTAGTCCCCAGCCCTTGCTGCAGCTCCGTGTGCCGCCTGATTCCATGAGCAGTATTGCAGCAGCATCCTGTTGTCAGAAGAGCTGGAATTTCTACCACGGTATAGGTCAGAGTGTGCTTGGCGTCACTGCCTTGGTGAAGTGGTTCCCCGTGCACTGGTGACTTGAAGCTTTGTTCTGCCTTGCTAGCCTTCCCCTATTTGACTTCATAAGGACCACTAAAACATTACAGCCCACCTTTCCTTCTTGATACCAGCGTGCTTAGACCCACAGAGCATTCATTCTCCACTGAATGTGGTTAGACTTCTGCAGTGCTCTCTTGTAACAGATACGCATCACTGAAGAAATTCTTTTAAATCTGTGTCTTGCTGGGGTTCAGTCTGAAAAGCTTGTTGTCTTCTGTGGTGTGCTGAGTCAGTCCAATTGACTTCATTTTTCTTGTTCACAAAGATGGGGGGAAATAAGACTACGTGTACTCTGCATGCCTGCAGAATAGGGTGAACTGTCCATGCTAACTTTTAACAAATGGAGCTCAGGAAACAATCTGGCATAGAGCTCTAGATGTTTTTCTCTCAAAGTCGTTTTTGTCACTGTGGTGTAAGCATGCCAAAAGGCCCACATCTTCATATCAAAAAAAAACCCTAGGTTTGAAGGGGGAGACTGTGGTGTAAGCATGCCAAAAGGCCCACGTCTTCATATCAAAAAAAAAACCTAGGTTTGAAGGGGGAAGGGGATAAAAC